CATCTGTCTTTGGTTTTAGAAACAAGAAAAGGACCATTTTGGAGGGCGCAATGTTAGGGGAATGAGATGAGCTCACTCCACTACTGACATACAGCTGTGTTCTGCGCAGTGCCAGTACAGTGCTCCCATCTCTGCTGGGAAACCAGGAGAGGTTTTAGAAATGTTTAGAAATACAAATCCAAGAGTTCTTGTTTAAAACAAAAAAAAAAAAATCTGTGGTGAGGAAAGAAAGAAAGACAGAGTCACATGGTTTCCTATGTAATTTTTAGTAATATCTCTAGAGTTTTGAGAGTTTTCATGCTCCCTATAGAATTTTGTGTAGAAGACTCTAAGTTCTATTAAGATCTGTTTACCACACAGTATTTTTTTAAAAAAAAAAAAGATTTCAAAAGCTTCTGGTGTTGTGTGGTTTGGTTGGTTTGTTGTGTTTGTTTTTTTTTTTTCCTTTTAAATGTGATACTAGATCCAAATGGCATCATGACTTTTTCCAGACAGTTCAGCACTGTTTCTAGGCAGGCAATTAAGTGTAACGTTCTGAGAAATAAAGAATGCTTGAGTTATTAATAAAAATTTGAGTCTGATGATACTCTTTGAGAAGAATGTGTGCCACTGTATATGCTCCCAGCTGTACATTGCCTTCATGTCCTGGTGCACAGTGTAGTGCTGCCCAGTCTTTTGGTAAAGGATGCAAAACACACTTAGGATGTGCCAGTTTTCCCTTTCTCATTATCCAGTGTGACAATGTAGTGCCCTGGAAATCTGCCTTGAGAACACTGCTGTCTTCATGGGAAGCATTTGGTCCTTTCTCAGTTGAAATAAGACATCTTGAACAACACAGAACTCCACTGAGCAGTGTGTTTCCACAGGGCATCTCATAGCTGTTCTCTGCAAGACCACCAGTAAGAGGATAGGTGAAAACCAGAATAGCTATTTCTTTCACCACTGCAGTTTTGATGCACCTAATGTGAAGTGGTGAATAATTCCCAGCATCTCTAAAACTTCCATGCAGCCTTTTTACCTCCTTCGCCTTCTGCTGCTAACTGTTTTTAACCTGAGCTACATCACAAGTTTCTGTAGCTTGGCAGCCTGCTCTCAAGTGGCAGCACCTTGCCCTGGACACCCATGAGTAGTGTTGTGTAAGCACATGTTAGCTGTTCACAGGGCAGTGTTTCAGGCAGCCTGGAGGAGCTCAAGAGGCTGAAGGGGCTTCAGGAGTTAGAGTTGCTGGGATGCTTGGAGTTGCTTGTGGAGACGCTTGGAGTTGCTTGTGGAGTTGTTGGAGACGCTGTAGATGCTGGAGAGTCTGGAAGAGCTGGTGTCCAAGTGATCTGGCAGTCACCTGCATTTTTATTGGGTGTGAAATGCAGCATCAAAGCCAGAGATCCTCAAAGCCACAAGCTGTTTAAACCTGTCCTGACATTTCACACAGTTGCTGATAACACGGTCATTGCTGACAGTGCTGCCTTTCCCATATCTCCTCTGCTCTGGAGGGGTGAGCTGCAGCATTGCTTGCTCACAGGAAGCAGCTGGCCTGCTGTGATACATGGTAGAGCAATTGTGCACCAGTTCTGAGGCCATCTCAGAACCTTTTCATAAGTAGTTTGCCTTAAAAAAAGGCAAATTACAATATACTGACATCACCTACCTGGACATGTGCAAAGCATTTGACATCGTCCTGCATGACATCCTTGTCTCTAATTTGCAGAGACATGGATTTGAGGGATGGGCCACTTGGTGAATAAAGGATTGGCTGGCTGGTTGCACTCAGAGAGCTGCAGTCAGTGACTTTATATCCAGGTGGGGGGCAGTGAGGAGCAGCGTTCCTCGGGGATCGGTGCTGGGAGCGGTGCTGTTTAACATCTGTCAGTGACATGGGCAGTGAGATCGAGCACACTCTCAGCAGCTTTGCAGATGACACCAAGCCGTGTGGTGTGGTTGACATGTTGGAGGGGAGGGAGGCCATCCAGAGGGACCTGGGCAGGTGGGCCTGTGCCAGCCTCATGAAGTTCAACAAGGCGAAGTGCAAGGTCCTGCACCTGGGTCGAGGCAATCACAGGCAGCAATACAGGCTGGGCATAGTATGGTTTGAGAGCAGCCCTGAGGAGAAAGACTGGGTTGACAAAAAGCTCAACACGAGCCAGCAATGTGCAAGTGCAGCCCAGAAAGCCTCAGCTGTATCCTGGGTTGCATCAAAAGCAGCATGGCCAGCAGGACAAGGGAGAGGATTCTGGCCCTCTGCTCTCATGAGACCCCACCTGGCGTATTGTGTCCAGCTCTGGATACCCCAACACAAGAAGGACATAGACCTGTTGGAGTAGGTACAGAGGAGGGCCACTAAGATGATCAGAGGGCTGGTATACCTCTCCTATGAGGACAGGCTTGAGAGAGTTGGGGTTGTTCAGCCTGGAGAAGAGAAGGCTCTGGGTGAGATCGTACTGCAGCCTTCCAGTACCTGAAGAAGGCCTACAGGAAGGCTGGGCAGGGACTTTTTACAAGGGCGTGTGGTGATAGGATGAAGGCTAACGGGTTCAGACTGGAAGAGGGAGATTTAGATTAGAAATCAGGAAGAAGTTCTGGAATTAGTTGCCCAGAGAAGTTGTGGATTCCCCCTCCCTGAAAGTGTTCAAGACCAGGTTGGATGGGGATTTGAGCAACCTGGTCTAGTAGGAGGTGGCAGAGGGCATGGCACTATATGGTCTTTAAGATCCTTTCCAACACTAATGATTCTATGATACTCTTGTTATTTGAGAAAGAGTATGTGACTGAGGCAGCACAGAGGCATGTCCAGGTACCAGCCCAGCCTTTGATCAGCAGTTGCATGGGATTTAGTGACCTGTGAAGCAAAGTGGAGCCTTTTCTCTGCCTGCCCTTGTGTGCCAGTCCTGCACTGGTTCAGATTGGTGGTTGTTGGATGTTTTCTGAAAGTAGCAATTTGGCTTAAGGTTGATATCTAATTGATATTTTTAAGACATTTGAGCTCATCAGTTGTGAAGCTTCCAGGTGGAGAGGAATCTCCTAAGCAGGGTGCTGAGCCCAGTGCATACCGGCAGCCCCTCACATGGGCGCTCTGCAGTGCCCATGAGCAGCTCTGCACACCCCTGGGCCCAGACCAGAGGTGCCAGCTCCTTCTGGGGCTGGGCTGCTTCCAGCAGATGATGGGATCTGCTTGCAGGCTTTTAGATCTGATGAACTCTGAATGGAGAAGGGAAGGTAACCCACCCTACCTAACCGAGAAACAGGGGAAGGTGGGCTTGTGGTGCCATCCTGAGATAACTGAGCTGACAGGGAAGAAAACTTCACCAGAGATTGAAAGTATCCTCAGAGAAATATCCCTCTTGGAGGGGCTTCATGCTGGAGGCTGTGGTGATGGCAGTTTAGCACTCTGTCACACAGCCATCCTGCTCTGTACTGAGCTGATTTATAACTCCAGTGCATGGCCCATATGATGGGGAACGTGAAGGAGCAAGGTGTTTTCAGCAGCTTCTCTTGTCCGTTGTTGGGACTGTATGGTCACTGGAGGCTTGCTGTCCATGGCTGCTGCCTGCATAGTGGTGGTAAAGTGAGAGCCCTGGTCTGTGACCTCCTGCAGATCAGGTTGATGGGAGCTGGAAGGAAGCTGGAAGGAAAGATGCATGGTTTAGCATGCCGAGGTGACAGCCAAAGGTACAATAGGTACAGAATCCTCAGCCTGTTTTGAAATGGACTTGACAAGCTCTGGACAGAGTGATTTTTGTGAAGGAGGCTCTTGCATTACATACGGGACAGCCACTGAAACCTCAGCATGGGCAGACAGCAGCAGAGCCAGCGGGGGTTGTAGGCACAGCATCGTATCAGCTAAAGGCTTTGTCCGCATTGCTCTTGCCTGGTGGGTTTGCACCATCTCAGCACTTTGCAGTGTGTTCCTGTGTCCCTTTTGATCCTCTCTGAATAGCCCAAAGGCAGATTCACTGCATATAAGCACTACTTCTGGGTCTGCCCGTGCAACTGTGCTAACCCTGCCCACAGCTTTGGTTTTGGATTTCATGTGGATGTTAACTGATCCAAAGAACCTCCCAAACCTATACAGTTGCATTTGTGAGTCTCTCATCTCCAATTTCTGTTGGTTCCTCGACTAACATAGAAGTACTCATAGTGTCCGGTGAGCCTATGGGTGTGGTAGGAGGGACTGCTTTTAGTGTGCCTGCCCAGCAGAAATTTTAGGTGAGCATTATGTACTGGCAGCAAGCTCAGACTCTTGCTGATGCTTCCCCTGAAGGGCTTAACTGTGTCTAAAGTTATTCTGCCTCACATTTTGCAATAGCTGTCACGCACTTCACTTCCACTGTGCTTTTATCAGCCTTCATTTTCTACGGCAATCATCTAATGAGCACTAGTACTTTTTTTATGCCTTTGTTTAATGATTCTGATGAATCTTGTCTCAGAAATTGCTGTGGGTTTTGCTCACTGAAGGGCAGCTGAACTCCTGTTCCTTTTTGCAGGGAGCATCATTTTCATCTGAGAAGGTCTCTGGGATAAATCGGAGGGCTGTGCACTGAAAAAAAAAAAAAAAAAAAAAAAAAACAACTCTTTTTTTTTTGTAATCCTGTAAGAGTCTAACATAGCAAAGATTTTCTTATGAGATGTGCTGATAGTGCCTTTAGTGCTTTATGCTATTCCTGTTACTTCTTGTGTTCAGGACATGTTTGGGTTGTTTGACGTCAGGATTTGTACCACAGTTTGTTAGGCATCTGGGAGGACTCCCTGTGTGGCATTTTGCAAATCAATCAGGCTTTCTATATGTGAAATGGGTAGTTTATTTTCCTCCAAGCCAACACTCCTGCTTGCTCAGAGAAGCTTTCTGGGAATACTTCGCTTCTGTTTCCATGCAACAAACAATTTTTCTTCACTAACATGCATTCACTGATTGGAAGTGTGTGTATATAACTTTTAATTTGCGTATTTCTCATCAACAGCTAAGTTTCATTGCCTTCTAACTCACTTCTGCCTTTTTTATTTTACAGATAAACTGTGTGACTTTCCCCCACCCTGACGTAATGCCAGAACAGCAGTTACTAAAACCTTCAGAGTGGAGCTACTGTGATTATTTCTGGGTAAGTAGGCAGCCAGCCACATGCCATGTTGCAGTTCCTAAGCTTCCGAAAAAGTGGAACAAACAACTTCATTTGTGGAATAAGGTAAAAGGAGAATCTGGGCTGAAGTGCAGTGCGTTAGGGCAGCACCAGTGAAGATCAGGTGGAAACCATCTAACTGGTCTCAGAAGCGGGCAGTTGGCAGAAGAGTGTCCAGAAAGGCAAGGCTGGCTGTCAGGAGATGGTTTTGGTGAGGACGTGGGGATGATGTAGGACAAACTACACATCTCAAAATACCTCAGCCAAGTGGGCTGTGCAGACGGAGATGGGATAGCAAGGTGGCTGACAGGGAATATTATTTCAGTGTTGCCCAAAGCATGAGGGATAGGAATGCACAGGGAAGCCAGAGATACCACATCTAAAACAAGCAGATAGTTACAAATTTTGTGTTAAATTGTAAAACTCAATCCCACGGGATATTCTGGAGGCCAGATGGTAAATGACTTCTTTGAAGGATGAGATTTGTGAAGGACAGGCCCATTAGAAGCTTTTAAATGGAGTAGTTCTAATGCAGCCTTCAGCATGGGAAGTCTCCAGTGGCTGTGTTTCTGCGTGCTTAGCTCCACTTTCAGGATCCTGATTCAGACTGAAATTATACCCTAGTCCTTCAGATGTGGAGCTGGTAGAAAAAATCTTCCACTGGAAAACTGTTTTTTTGTGGAACAAGGGAAATACTACCTCAACAATGAAGATGATATAAACTTCACATGTGTTATCAGTTATTGAAGGATTTCCATTTTAAAAAAGAAGAGTTTCACTTAGAGAGAAGCCTAGCTGTTGGAGGAACAGCAGCACTTCTCCTCATGCATGCTCAGTGCTGGTGTGAGGACTAATGGCAGTAACTTATTAAAGTATGCTGACATACTTCCAGATGGTCATGTTAGCAAACCATCAGTTTCTTTAGTTTATTCCAGTCTTCTGATCTTAATGAGCAATAAGTCATTAATAATGTACAGGCTTATTTTTTTCATGCGTCTTAGAGAAGTCACTGCTCTGCTTGGTTCTTCCCATTTAGGCTTGGCCACTGCTTGGCTTCTTGGGTTTGGTCACATCTTGCCCTCTGCTTAAAGCTGCCTTTCTTCTGCAAACTTTTATCCTCCCATAGCTCCACTCCCAGAATTTTCCTCTTGTTTGGCCTTGTCATTCATGGTCTGCCCATGCTTGTTCACCTTCTTTGATCAACTCTGCTCCTGTTGTCTCAGCTGCCCAGTGCCTATTGTGGCATCCTACAAGTCTCACACTTTGATTAATGTGGCATTTTTCTCTGTGCATATGTGCAACAACCAGCATTGGAGCAAACCCTGTAGTCCTTAGGGAAGTGTTCTTTGGGCTTGTTTGCTGGAATAGAGTGGGAAATGAAATTCTGAAACACAGGAAAGCAGAGAGTGAAGAGAGAAAAGAAACAGCAGAGGGAAGACTGTGTTGGTCCTTGTAGCAACCCTGAAGTCACTAGAGCAAAGGGTGGAAACGGCTGTGTAGGAAACAAACACTTCAAGATACAAGTTGCTGGTTCACCTGGCTTTAGAGCAGATCTGTGCAGACTGGAGGTATTTTTTCTGAGTGCAAATCAGGGTTAGCCTTGACAGTCTATAAAAAGTCGTTTAGGGCTGCGTTACTCCTGGAAGGAGCAGCAGTGTCCTCCCTGCCTCTCCCCCAGCAGTTACCTTTTGCTGGTGCCAGGATCCCTTCTCTTTGAAGGGTGGGCCACAAGGTCAGGGTGCATGCTTGCTAGAGCCAGCCCAGGGGCTTTATCAGCTAGGAAAGGCCATGAACAAAAGGGAAGGCCATGCTGCTGCTTTGGTCCCAACACAGTCTTATGCTAGCTCAAGATAACTGTAAAACTTCCTCTTTTGTAAAAAAAAAAAAAAAAAAAAAAGGGAATAAGAGGAGTGGAAAAATTAAACTGTGTTGAACTGTTCTGCTGAGAAGGGCTGAGGGGCTGCAGCCACCAGCTATTACCAGACAAGGGCTCTTTGGACACTACTGCTGCCTGTTACTCAGGACTCCTTGGGCAGTCACTGCTGGGAACCATGTGTCTGTGCTTGTCACCCATGTGGCTTTCTGTTAACTTCCTTTTACCTTCCAGGCTGATAAGAAGGATTCACAAGGGAACAATACAGTGTCGGGATTTGAAATTCTTCTTCAAAAGCAACTTAAAGGGAAACAAATGCAGAAAGAAATGGCAGAATTTGTTCGAGAAAGGTAATGAGCACTTTGCTATCAAATTAACCATTTATGGCAATTTTTTTTTTTTTTCCTGATTTAGATACCCCTTTGGTACATTAGTGACATAGCTTAAACTGCATAGAAGATATGGTAACAATTCTTAAAGAACATTTCACATTTATTTAATTTCCATCCACATTTCCCAGTCTTCCCCAGCTGTCACTTGTCTCTCCTGCTGTGCATATCTTGGTCATATTGCACATAGGCTGTTTAGACAGAGGGAACCAAGAAGGTTTTAAGCTGCAGATTCTAGGAAAAGACATGGAAAAAAAAACAGAGTAGGTGTGATATTTAGAAAAAAAATACTTTGAAAAATAAAGAAGCAATTTGTTGACATGGAGCATTGGCACAGTTCCGTAGAGGAAGATGTAAAAGACATCACTTGGGAGTTAAGCTGGTTATGGAGCTGAACTACACATACAGATAATGAGAGTGAACCCCAAGTCATGAAGGCAGACGTCACTACCAGAAAAATGCCAGGATGGTGTTAATGGTCTGTTGCTCTGCTGACATGGAAGTGCACTGAGCACCAAAGAAGCAGTTGATAGGTGCTCAGTTTAACCATGTACAGGAGAAGTTGTGACATCATTACTCATAAGCAATGTCACTATTATTTGAACTCACTTGTCATACGTCCAAGCCAGTGTAAATAATCTTGAGGATGGCTCTCAAAACCTGAGAACAGCCCGTAGGGAGCAAGCAGTGTTTACGCTAGGCAGGAAGGCAGATGGATATTCTTTTGGGGAAGCAATGGCACCGGTTGAAGGAGCTGCTTTCTTCTGTTACTGCCTCTATGCTGGTGCTTGCTGATGAGTTGGTATTGTCATCCTGCTCTACTGCTGCAGCCACAGTGTGGCTGTGCTGATATAAATCAGTAGTGGTGGAAGCAATGAACAGGATAACAAACAGGCACCTGTGTTGGTGTGCAGGGGAAGTTCAGTTGGGCAGAACTTGCAGATAGCTGCTTTCATCTGTGGGGTTTATTCTCTCTCCCTTTTGTCTTTTTCTTTTAGCGTTAGGGGTGTGGCAGCAGTGAACAAATGCAAAGTGTAGCACAGGCAATAAAGACGGCCTGATATAGGAGGTACAGAGTACCCAGCATCCATGTGTGGTTCCTACTGCATTTGGCATAAGGCAGTCCAAGAGACGGCTAGTGTGGCCAGAGGATGCAGGCAGAAGAAAGGACCAGCTGGCAAAGGAAAAATAAAATTGAGAAATAGTCTTTCTAAGCTAGAAGATAAGGACAAGGCAAGCAGAATAGTGACAGCCATGGCCATGGAAGGGACTAGGAAAGCTGCTCCAAAGAAAGTAATATATAATGAAATTTGGCAAGAATCAAAAGAAACGTGCATTCAAGAGAGAGATAAATTTGGTGTGAAATGAGAGAGAGCAAGGAGAGAGCAGCTCTGATACTGCAGAGGCATGTTTGTGTCCTCAGTAGAGGAAGAAATAGGCATGTTATAGAAGAAAACAGAGAAAAGATTCACTGCATGCTGGAAACAGAGACAGTTTGGAATTGAGTGTGAAGTGGATCTAGATGGGAGTTGTAGAAAGATGAGTACATTTTTCTTCTGTTTGGAGCAATGATTCAGGATTACTTCATGGGGAAAAGGAAGAGCACAGTTTTGAGCTGGAGAGGTTACTCATGGAAATGAGAGCCCAGGTTATCAGGGGAACCTTTACATTCCCAGCTAAGGGAAGAAGTACTGATAAGAATTTCATGATGACCATCTAGAGGCTCAGGGAATACAAGACGATGTTTAACTAGAGGTTTTCATGTCCAGAAAAAATTATCTCTCTTCTGTTCAGCTGGCCTTCTGGAGATGACGTTAAGGTGGCTAATAAATGTAGCTTTAAACAGGAAGCTGGAATGAGATACAATAACCAGATTTCTTCATCAAATATCCAAGAGGCAATAATAACTGAAATTTAGTTTGTCACTTAAATACTTGTAGAGGAGCTACTTGTAAATAACATTCATAAACTGAGCAATTATGTTTTCATTCTGTTCTTGTTGACAAAGGTAGAGTTATAATAAAGACTTTGAATTTTAATGAGACCTTGAGAAAGGGAGGAACATAATAAATAGACTGAACTGAAAGATCAAGGGTGTGGGTGTGGAAGAAGGAAAGAATTACTTTAAATCAAAAGTGAAGATATGGTCCAGCATTTGCATTCAGGTAAGCACTCCAAAACAATCAAGAGAATCTGCAGACTGCTCTGAATAGCATCAATTTCTCCAAGTATAAGAAGTAGTGGTTTTATTAGTAGAGGAACACTGTTTTAGGCTTTTGGCCACTTTTAATTGGCCACTTTTTAATTGAGCTGAGCGATGCGTAGAAAATTTAAAATAAATAGCAGATTATTTAGCTACCTGAAAAGAAACACAAGCAGAATGGCTGTAGTAATTCTGATGAAGATTTGTCTAGGCCACTGACTTGAATCTGACCATGGCAATACTGAGTGTGTAAGAAGAAAGGAGCATAAGAGTCTATTTCCTCCACATTCCAGTAACCAGAAGTTTGAGGATTTCTGGAGTCAGTTTGCCTTAGGTCTGTCATGTTCAGCAGATACTTCTAAACAGTCTTCCCCTGTTTGATCCTTTTGAGTCTTTTTTTTTGACCACTGCAACAATGTGTAAAAGACTTCTGCAATTTATACTCTACAGAAAAAGTAATTATGCTTCTGTTGTTTGGTAATTTCCATTTTGCCTCCTAATCTGGAGTCTAGTGATAACAAGAGTTATAGTCGCTGTCTTCACACAGTGACAATTGTGTAGATGTCTGTCAGATACCATCTATCACCTTTTATCCATGTTCCTTGTGTTGTCTTAATGTATTTAGTTTCTTCTTGCATGGTAGTCATATCACATTATCTTTGTCTCCTTTTGTAGCTCTCTAGTTTTTCTTCATCCATTTTAACATGGTGTGACTGAAACTATTTGAGTGTGGGCACACAAAGTACTTTATTTTAAAAAAAAAAAAAAAAAAGCATAAGACATCAGGGAATAAACATCCAAAGAGCAAATGGAACTAATAAAGTCAAGACAGTATGGGTCAAAATGCGCTTGCAATCTGTAATGCTTCTGACTGCACCGGGAGTGAAATCCGGAAAATTTGCAAACAAGTTAGTGGACACAAGAAACGGGATTTTTTTAATGTGAAGGTGGAATAACTGCCAAACAGGAGTGTGGATTTCTGGAGGTAGGCTCACAAGGCTCAGGAGTCCTTGTGTGCTGATGTGTTGGTGTTTCAGTCACCACAATCCAGAGTTTGCAGGTTGGTTATACCAGCTAGGGCCAGGAGGCCTCCTTTGAGGTGTTTGAGCTGTTTTGACCACAGATGGTGACAGGATGCTGGGCTGAGGTGGAACATTTTATGTCTTTTAATTTGGAGTCTTAAGCAAAACACAATTCACCATTTTATTGGGGTTTTTTGTTTGTTTTATTGTTATTCCTCCTTGCCAAGCAGCCAGCCCTGTTAGTAGTGTCATCCACCTTAGTACAAGGGACAATCCAAGAGCTTGGGCCAAAGCTGAAACCCATGAGGAATGCTTCCATTAAAGCCAGATGCTTTGCATGTAGGGTGCCACTCTTAGGACAGGTACTGATGGCAGCAGACATAGTGTGTCTTGTGTGGTTGTGAAAACCGTGAGGCTTCCTTGTGTCTTTGTGTCTTCAATACTTCCCTAGCTAGAGCAGTATGAGGAAAGAACTTCACAAGGTTTTAATCCATTACTTTCACAGCAAACCTGTATGATGGAAGTTGGTTATTCTTCTGTTCATGAGGTTCTGTCTATGTGATCAGCTCAGAACAGGCAGCAGGCCAGTGAGCACCTTTGCACACCTAGCATCCACAAGTAAAACAGTCAAAGGCATCCTTAGGGATTAAAGTTGTATGGTGAAGGCTGTGGACTCCAGGCTTGGGAACTCTTGGTAACTCAGGCAAAAGCAGTGAGCCCTGGTTTGGGCTGGACACTTAGTTATTTATCTCAGCTACATTTAGACATTTGCATTATAATTGACATATGCTCCTTTTCCAGTCTGTAGAAACTGTTACTTTCAAGACAAGATTAATCTCATCCTGAACCAGGTATTTAAAATAGGCCAGGTGAGAGGTGAGATGTGCTCATATAAGGTCCTTTTCATAGTAAGGTCTTTTTCATAGTGAGGTCCTAACCACAGTGCTTTGGTGCTGGATAGCTGTATTGGTTTGTCGTGCTGCAGCAGGTGTGGGGAGCTGGCTGGGTTTTTTCTCAGAGGAGGAGGAGGAAGAGGACCCCCACATGCTGGATGAGGTCTGTAGTTGTACTGTGTCCTAGTGAGCCGAGTATCACCTCAGGCCTTCAGCCAGCTGCATCTCACAATGACATCCAGGTTCTATTTTCAGCAGTCTAGACCATCAGACCCCTCTTAGCTCACTCACAGGCCCCTTTTGTCTCAAAAGTGCCACATATAACAGTGTTGGCTCAACTAGCTACTGCAAATGGGTGTGTCAAAAATATCCCTCCTCTGTCCTCTCATTGAAATGAGAGGAATTTCAAACCAGGTTTTTCCCCTGCTTGTACTTAACACCGAATCAGGAGTTGCTCCACCTGGGTGTCACTCAGTTGTCTCTTGAAGATGCAGTATTGACCAAGCTGGATTGAACACTAGTGAGCAGCCAGTTGTTTACCCTAGTTAGGGTCATGTAGACTGTTCAAGTGTTTCAGTTGGAGAGGAACTCAGGGGAGGTGGAGATGGCTTTCAGGTGTGAATTCACTTCTAAATCAGCAGCTGCTCATTCCTTCCTTGCTGTGCAGTCAGCATTTACCCTTGTCCCTGTGCTCAACAGCTACATTTGTTCTCCCTGCAGCCATTGCCATAGTAGTTGTGTGCCAACAGTTTCTGTCCTCTGCACCCCCACTGCTGGCAAGCTCAGATGATGTTCCTAGTGCGGTGCTGCTGAGTGAATGGAGAAAAGGTCAGGGCACTGGCTGGAGTGAGGGAAGGGCAGTGGCTGCACTACCACATGTCACTGATGGAAGTTCCTGCCACATCTGCACCAGCTTTGCCCTCTGCAATGGGAAGGAGGAAACATTAAATGTCCTTAGGAAAGGTGCAGCCCAGCACCCCAAACCTCATTTGGATTCTTCCTGTATCACCACTTTCCTTCATCTCCGCTTCAAGGATGTGTGACCTCATGTTTAGCAGCAGACTGAAACACATGCTTCTCAAATGAGCCAGTTTTGCAGACAGTCCATGTTGCATGGTAGAAACACTTTGTCCTTGTTATTTGCTTTCCTGAACTAGCTTTTTCTTCTAATTTTATCACACATGCTGTCCTCTATATATACCTACTCTTGCCACTGCATTTTTAGCATATGGAAGGGGAGAGATGGATTCTGAAACCGCTGCTGCCAAGCCCTGCAGGCTGAAAGGAGAATTTCTGTGGAAAGATCTGTTAAAATGCAAAGAGTTTCTTTAAATTTTTTGTATGGGTTTCTGCCTTAAAGCTTCCTTACTGCTGTCTTTTTATTTTCTCTGTGTGTGTGTTTGAGTGTAGGATAAAGATTGAGGAGGAATATGCTAAGAACCTGTCCAAACTGTCTCAGAATTCCTTGGCAGCTCAGGAAGAAGGGTAAGTGTGTCTCTGGGACTTCTGCAGAAAACTCTTTAACATGAAAAGCATTCCTCCCACACAGCTACATGTGATTTTCCATTGAATAGAGATTTTGTGGTGGGTTAACCCTGGCTGAGCAGCAGGTGCCCAACGAGCCACTCTTATCACTTCCCCCCTTTCTTCTCCCTGCTCTAAAAAGCAGAAGATTGAAGGAAAATAAGATGGAAACAACAAAACCCTTGTGGGTAGAAACAAAGGCAGTTTAATGAAAAGCAAAGCCAAGCAATGCTCCATGAGCAGCCTGATCTAGTGGGAGGTGTCCCTGCTCATGGCAGAGGGGTTGGAACTGGGTGATCCTTGTGGTCCCTTCCAACCCTGACAGATTCTGATCTGTTTTAGCAGAGGACTTTAGAGCCCTAATGGCTCAATGGTTGGACTTGATGATCTTGGAGGTCCCTTCCAACCTAAAGGATTCTATGATTCTATGTGGAAGCCAAGCTTAACCCCCCCACCCCCCCTGAATGCACAGGGAAAGGTAGAAAGAGCCTTGGTGCTGTGCTCAGTGGGAGTCACAACATGGGTGTTACCAACACCCTTATGACTCCCAACACAAAAGCCCTGCACCAGGAGGGCTGCTATGGGAAAATCAGCTCAGCGAGACCTGATACAGGTTTATTTAGCTGAGCATCCTGGGAAGATGTTGGGGAAGATAGAATTGCTTTTTTTCTTTTGAGGAAGTTTACAGTAAATTTTTAGGAATATGTGTATAAAACATTGCATTTCCAGTAATGTCTTTATGCCTTGTTCTTGACAGCACTAGTGCTTTTAGGGATTAACATATGTAAATACTAAATTAATTTGGATGTGGAAGAATATATGTAATATATATATATATTGCTGAACATAGATTCGTAAGGTCAGGCCAATAGAATTGGAGCAGCACAGGCAGAGAGAGGTGGATGAAGAAGTCTCTTCTCGTTATGGGTCTGTCCCTCCAAGAAGGGCAGCCGGTTGTCCCTTTATTATGACATGTTCACACTTTGTAAGTTATTAAGAAGGCATTAGGCAGTGAAATTTATACTAGATTGCAGTTCTTAACAATAATGAAAAGACACCACTCATGAAGGATTAGAAGTTGTTCACTCTGTTCCAGCACAAACCCTCTAAGCACTGAAAGCCAAGGCTGGAAGCAGCTGTCCTTGCCTTAGTTCTGACACCATGTGCTTCTACTGGCAGTGAAGCTCTGCAAGGTGTTTGCTCAGCTTCCAGTAGGCAAGGGCAGAAGTTGCAAGAGGCTAACTGTGCTACTGCTTTTCTAAGTACCTACATTGACTGTTGTTCTTTCGCCTTTAGTTGTGGGTGTTAACTGCTCCTAGCAAAGCTAAACCCACTTTCTTCTACATCCTTCTCACGTTCTCCTACTGACAATAGGAGAAGCCAGGAACACCTGAAAAAATGAAGGAGAAGGAAACAAGGGGAGAGCATGAAAAGAGAGGGCAGGAGGGTGAAAGCCTAAAAGATGGTGAAGTAAGGAACTGAAGGGGACATTGAGTTTTGTGAGCTAAGATCAGTGCCCGATGGTGCTCTGCATGGAGGGGTGGCAAGATGAGGGAGTAGAAAAAGGCCCCACTGGAATTTATCCTCCTAGTGCTGTGGTGGCCAAAGTGGCTAGGACCGGGAAGAGGCTAGTGAGAGGATCCTGGGAATTGGTGAGGCCCAGGAAAGGGAAAAATTCCATTTAAAAATTGAAGGAGGAAGAGAAGACAGCAGAAGGATTTGAAAGAGCCAGAAGTTGGACTGCAGCTTAGCATACTCAAAGTGAACATTTGCCAGGGTCTTCCTCTCCTTCTTGAGAAGGTGTGAGTTGGGGGACCCCATTAACTGCTCTGTGAAACCAGTGCTGGCTTCATTATCCACAGAGCAATGTCCAGCTTTGCTGTCCAGCAGTAGGTGGAATTGACACAGTTTGGACTGTCCCTCCGGGGCTTTCTGCCCTCCTCTGGTCGTACAAGACCCACCGTCATTTATGTGAGTGGGACACTAGGGTGTGAGATAGGACCAATTTGTGGTATTGAGGTAGTTCTGTTGAAGTTGCTGTGCCTAGAGTGCTGTTGTGCTTACACAGAAGGTGGGGTGATACAATCTATGGTCAATTAAGTCATTGTAGTTGGACAAAAGATGCGGAAGATGCTTAACAGGCTGAAATATCTTCTTTAGTTAAACAGATCAGATAAAATAGTGCCAGAGAGGATTGGACAGTGGAAGGGGACCTCAGAAATTGGACTAGGGAAGGAGAAGAGTTGGGAGCACTTATCTAAGTGAAATAGTCTCACTTCTAGTTTAGCTGTGATGAACATCATACTTGACGACTCAACTCATTGGAGCAGTGTTTCACTGGAGCGAGATTATAATTTCAAAATTGCACATGACAGACAATTTTTCAGGCTATCAGGAAGGGGCAAATATGACTATCTTTGAAAAGGGGGTGGGGGGGAGAGAGAAGGGGCTGGGAAATTGTACATCACTCACCTCTATTTAACCTCTGCAAAAGTGGTGGACTAACCCATCAAGCTTTCTAGAAGCACTCAGTGGAAAAGTAAGGTGATGAGCAGTTATTGTGGATGCATGCAGAACAAAAAATATCAAACCAACCTAAATTTCTCTGGTGATGGAATAATGGAAGTCAACATCATAGCTCTTAATTTAGCACAGCTTTTTGCAATAATTTGTATTATTGCATACAATAATAAAGGAGATTCTTGTAGGCAAGCAAGACAAATGTGGCCCAGATAAAGCCTAAGGTGCAAAACTAGGTAAGAAATTATACCCCCTACTAAGAAAAAGTACAGAAGTTAGCTATGGATTGAGATCCCATAACTTTTGTCCCAACTCCAGGTTATTTTCAATGTTTTTGTTAATGACCTACTATAGAATAAATAGTGGACTTAGTATAATCAGAGATGAAACAAAGCTTGGAGGGGTGGTATGTAGAAATCGAAGAGAAAAATGCAACTCAGAATTATTTTGTTAAACTAAAGAAATTAACTGAAAAAAAATATAAGATGCATTTCAGTGATGACAAAGTACCAGATTTTATACTTTCACAGGATGTGAAAGATACAGTTACATAACAGTTTGTGGGAGAAGGATCTGGCTATAGTGAATCACAGGCTTGTTCATCAGAAACTTGATGTTGTCTAAAAAAGCAATCGTACTGAGATAAGTAAAAGAAAGGGTGTCTGATATGAAATAATCTGTTACCATTTTAGCAGCTGGAAGATCTCTCCTGGAATTGGGTGTGGTTTTGTTTATGATGCTTTAAGAGGAATTTAGGCTGTTGGAGAGGGTCTAGAGGAGTGTTCCTTAACTGTCATCATCTAGAAAATAATTTTTCTGTAGGAAAAAGAACTGCTACGTACAGTGCCAGTATAATTCTGCCCTGGTCACAGAGCACTGGTTATCTTCTCAGATTTCTGCTGTCACATTTCCTTCATTCTGCTGAGCATTGGACCATGTCTGTCTCACACTATCTGACAGATCTTGTTGGGAGTCCATGCAGAAGACAAGGCATTGATCATTGTCACTGTGTTCTTTCAGCACACTAGGAGAGGCTTGGGCTCAGCTAAAGAAGAGTCTAGCTGATGAAGCAGAAGTTCATCTTAAATTTTCTTCTAAGGTAAATAGTTCTTGTTTTGCAAAGATTTTTGCACTGCAATTGATGTGGATCTCCCTTCAGTGCTTATTAGTGGGGAAAATAGACATGTATATGCTACAAATTTAGAATTAATAACTTGATGAACAAACTTATCAAAACTCTGTCTGTTCCTCCCACCAAAATCATAGTTAATTTAATCTACCTGATGAGTTAATTAAAATGCATCTAGCCTTAAGTTTTTATAAAAAAGAAGGAAAACTGATTCACCTAGGGATCTAATTCCAGCTCTTTTAAGTAAATTTTTCTAGAGCTTGTAGAGATTACTCCTGAAGAAAAGGTAAAAATTGATATTTGTCTTCTCAACAAGAGTTTACTGTATCTGTCTGGAATGGTGAGAACCAGGACTATGACTTCTTTGTATCATTAGCCTTTCTGAAAAGTGCACTGGGAACTTGGTGTTATTTTTGCATTCTCTCTCAAGTGATGCCCAAGGAGATTTCTGGTACAAATTCTGATATTTATCTGGTTTTTTTCCACCACATGTGACATATTCTGGCGTGCTGTTACATTATGTTAACCTCTGTGGGTGATCAAGTTCAATACAGTGGGAGATAGCTCAGCACAACAGCCATGTTCTGGAGGAAAATTACAGCTCTGCACTGTTTGTAAGTGATTATGCAGAGGTTACTCAGGCAACCAGCTGCTGCCTTGGTAACCTACTGTTCTGTTTCAAACTTCTACTTCAGAGCTGTAATTAGTGAAATATTCTTGTTCCCCATTGTCCTCCTGCATTGTTTTCCAAGAGGAAGTAATGCACCCTGGAGTGGTGTGTGCATGCAGGCAGGCAATGTATAGGGGCTCTTCCATTATTTTACTTAAACTCTGCACAGAAACTCCTGCAGCATCCTCTGAACTCTGCCCCCTGTTCCTGTACCTGCTTTAGGACTTCCTAGTACCAGCTTTCTTTTATCAAGAGTATATGTCCTTAAACATATTGTTTATTGCTAATACTTTCAGAAAAGTTATTCTTAGAAGTAGTAATTATATTTCATGTTGAGAGTCAAACAAAACCAGTCAGTGCTGGCACAAGCAGTCAGTACAGTGCAGAGCACACCAAGAGTGTTCAGGCATAAAAACCAGCCTAGAAGGCATTAAACAACTTCCATGACAGCCCTTCATGGTGCTGTTATGTTGGGGCTCATGGACAGATCGGTGAAGGTGACACTGCAGCACTTGGGACATAAAATACTGTTACACTACTAATGTCTGTACAGACTGGTGTGGCAACTGTAGATACATGCACACACAGAATCCTTCAAGAAGACTGTCATGGCACTGAATTCCAGCTTCTCCAGCTATCATTATCCCTTACTGAGCTCCAGGAGATGAGTTCTGCTGGAAGAGAAGATGCACATATGTTGTACTAGTTGAAATCGTGGTGGGCTGGCCTGGATATGTTGATGTGTTACCAGCCATTCTGGAAATAGTGCTGATGGAGCAAAGGAAAAAATAAGTACTTGTGAAATCAGAGGAATTTTTGAAGTTTTGTTTGTGGTAACTCAGCTGTGTAGGTTCTCCAGCATCTAATACTATGATTAACCTTATACCTCTGTACCATACTGGTTCAGAGATACAAGGTCTTTGTCCTATACCTGATAACTTATTTTAACAAGCTTCTTGAGATTTCAAGTCCTTTGTCAAATCTCATCCGTTCAGTCATAGGTAGGTGTCAGAGTTGCATATATAAACTGGGGCTTTAAATCTCTTCATCTTAGGAAAGTAGTTTGTTTGTTTGTTTTTCATCTATTGCATGCATTTGTAAGTCTATTAGCAAGATCTTCTAGGAAAAAGAAAAATGTATGGCCAACTGTAATGCAACATTTAAAAGCCTAGGTCATTCACATGTGAGTCTAGTTTGATAGCTTATGATACCTCTTGCAATATGGAAGTTGAAGGAGGATACTGATGCTAGAGGATACTGATGCTAGAGGAATGATGACTGTCTTCACTGGGAAATCCACCCCTTTGTTTTTCAGAATACAAAATTAGACAAAGCAGTTGCCTTGTTTCCATTTTGAGCTTCTCATCGTTTCCCATATTTATGAGGATCTCAGAATTTCCTGTCCCATTATAAAGCATGTGAAATAAATATCTTTACTTTCTATTAGGCAAGTAAATCTATCAGTGGAATGTCCTCCTGTTTGCAGTGTTTGTGACCCTGGGGATTTTTATAAGGATTTTCACAGCAATGTCTACTATGTCAGATAGGTCAGATTGCCATTTCTTCCACTGAGGATAATTGACTCATGTTGGGTTGTTAGTGTGGGTTAAGCCATTTATTAAGGGAGCAGTCATGCTCAGCAGACTATTCAGCTACTACAAAATCAGCTGGACACAGAAATCTCTATCAATGGTAGCATATTGCCTCTGGAGTTCACCGAAGCCATCCTGAACTTCTCTCCCAGTTCTTGTTTTGTGGAGCACTGACAATGCTGGCACAGCTATCAGTTTGTCTTGAGAAACTTATGTAACCGTGCTGGCCTAGAGTTGGGAACAGGTCTTTTATTAGCTTTCCTAGGGCCACCCTGTTGAGACTGTCATAAAAATATTGTCCAGAATTTTCTAGTCCACCACCCCCAGTTAGAGTCGGACAGTCACCCACAGTGGATCAACTCCTCATCCACATCTTTGTCTAGCAGAGTCTTGAATATCTCTAAGGACAGAGATTTCATTATCTTTCTGGTCAGCTTGTTTAGTGTCCAGCTACCCTTGTAGTGATTTTATTTTTTTTTTTTTTCAATTACCTTCAACTTGAACCTCCCAAAGCTCAATTGTCTGTGTGACATCACCTGGCCCTATGAAGAAAAATCTGACTTTATGACCCTTGCATCTGACCATCAGATAGGTGTAGGCCATATTAGATCACTGTGGTATCAATCTTCATCTGCCTACACAAGCTCTGCTTTAGGCTTGTTTAACCTTTCTAGGATGTAGGACCTTGACTGTCTTTGTAGCCTCTCTCCATTAAAAGGCTCTACTGAACTTGAATGAAGTTTTGTTCTCCATTAAAATGGCACTGGAGAAAGGCCAAAAATACTTTCTTTCAGGTACTATTTGATACTACACTGTGGGCCATGTTAGGTGACTATAGAACTAACTCACCTAAGCTGACTGAGTCCAGATCCCCACAGGAGTGATAAAAAAAAAAAAAAAAAAAAATTATTTGGTTGCTTCAGGGGAGGTGAAGTATCTGCATCCCTTCAGAGCACATTTCCTAGATGTCAGAACTGTCTATCTGAAGGCTAAACAGCCATATGATACAAACTTGTAAGAGTTAAGCCACATGTGCCTGATAGATCTCTTCTTAATTCATTTCAGTTGTTTCTTGCCCCTGCTTAAAGAATTTCAAATAAATGCTATGGCTTTTGAATCCCTTATACTTGACAGAAAAAAATAAAATGTGCCCTTATTGGATCTTTTTTCACTATCCAAGAAATGCAGACATGTCACCACGGTCCACTGATGCCTTGTTGCATTAGGGGGTTAGTGACTTTAGTTTGTGTACCTTGGGTTTTTTTAAGCAAGTTGCATCAGTGAGGCCAGAATCAGAGCACCTCAGGTAGTGCTCTGGATATTACCTGCAGTTTGATCCTGTGTGTAAGAAGAGATACATCATTTAATGGGGAGAGAGGAAGACTGGATTTCTGTCCTTTTGGTTCCTTCAGTAAATAGTCCTTTAACAGAGCTGTCCTGCGAAGAGCTGAGCTTTGCAGTAGCTTTGTTCAGAGCTCTCCTGGGGAAGAAAACTGTTGCTGTATGATATTACCTTTGGCCATGGTGTGTGTAGTATTTCCTCTGAGCAGAAGAGCCAGGAATTACTGCCTGGCTCCTCATTATTGCCATTTCTTCTTCTGTTCTCCTTCCCAGCTTCAGAGTGAGGTAGAGAAACCCCTGCTCAACTTCAGAGAGAACTTTAAGAAAGACATGAAGAAGTGTGACCACCATATTGCAGATTTACGGAAGCATCTGGCCAGCCGCTACACAGCAGTTGAAAAGGTGGGAGCAGAGAGCAAAGTAGAGTGTTGATGAGATACTGCAGGTTTGGGCAGAAAAGCAGCTGCCCTGGGAAGAGTTTCTGTTCTGCCTCAAAGAACCACAGAGGTTTCTGCTAAGTGCTTTGTACTCTCAGTTGTACTTTGCTGGGCCCCAGGTGTCGTACTGCTGTTTAGCTGAGATGTGGAAAACTGGGGTTCCAAGGCAGGGTTAACACAGTACTGCTGAAGTGGCTTTTTGTTTCATCCTTCTCTTCCCAGCATGGGACAGTATATTTCTAATGCATTTGATGAAAATAATCCTTGCCTGTGTGCATCTGGAAGTCACATCTATTGCCCTCAGAATTTGAAAAAATCTTGCCTTAGAATAGCAGCAGGATCAAGCCAAAGGCTCACTTGGCTCAGTATCTGCTCGTGCAGTGGGCAAAAGCAGATGGCCAAGGACAGCAGCTCAAACCTGGCATGGCAATCATAAACTCTCCCCCAGTTCCCCTTCTCTGTGCCTCACAACTAATGTTGCCACCTGAAAAAAACTAAAAGCAGCAGGCCCTAGTATCAGGGCCTGCATTAACGTGAGCATCCAGTGGGTAGCTAAGGCTGTGATTTAGGGAGAATTATACCCACAAAAAGTGCTCTCTTGGCAGCATCTGGCAGGAAATAGGATACCTCAGCCTTGGCTGCCAGGCCACTTATTCCAGATGAGGTTCTCATGCAGTTTGCTCTTGGGTGTTAAGCTGGAAAGTACTCTGCTCGGTCAACCCAGAAGGTTGTTTGGGCTTTCTTTAAAGATCACTGTGCACATAAGAAAGTTTGCCTGGGGTCAGAATTGTTGCAGGATACACAAGGCTATTAGACTGCATGTATGCAGGGAAGGCATTTTTCTACAAAACAGTAAATCCTTCATAGTCGTATCTGCAAAGAAACACAGTCCTCAGGAGGGATATTGAAAAGAATTAATTAGAATAGCCTTGAAAAGAAGGATTTAAAAAAGGGACAAGCTGTGGCTGCAGTGTGCACACAGCTTCTCAGCATATTGCTTTCCTGCAGCTCCCTCTTGTGTCCTGCTGACACAAGAACAGGGTCTTTGGAACTTCCACTTGAAAAAAATTCACATAATGCCTTGAGCTTGTAACTTGCAAGCTGTGACTGTAAAAAAACTGCGAGGTGATAACAAAATATAGTCATCCAAGTTCAATTGTAAACCAAATAACTGCGTAAAGAACAAATGTGAACCATTCTATAACAAGTCCATGCAAAACAAGGTATTTTTATGTATTTAGGCAATCTCAGCAAATGAGGTGACAGCATGCATATGTGATGTTGATGTTTGTGTATGTGGTGTTGATGTTTGTTTATTAAGACCCTTTACTAATTTGCCTGTGATCATTTGCAATGATGTCAATAAATCTGGCTTTAAACATCTGAAGAATTTTAAAGTAATTTAAATAATCAGTTGTTACCAGGTCTCAGGTTCTTGATTTCAACAGTATGAACTGCTGTTGGCATGAACCTAAATTAGTTTGTCTGAAATAAGTCTTAAAGTTCCTGTTGTTAGTTTTTGGTAAGTGTATGCTGAATCCAGAAGATACTTTAAAATCAATTTTTTCAAATACTTGAAATTCTTTAAGCAATTTAGATGCTAAGAAAAGCAAAGGGTGGTTTGAAGATGCTGGCTAAGACATTTGGAAGAAGCTCGAGCTCGCCTTTCTTCCACAAATAGTGAGAAAGTTACTAAGAAACATGAAAGTCTGATGATGTCTTTGGCACTGGGCCTTTCTGAGAACCTATGAAGAGTTCAGATGCGTTTGTGATTTGTTGGTGATGGCTTCTGTGTGGTTGTAGGTCACTTCTTTGAACACTACATGGTGTCCTAAGAACTTGGACCCCAGTTAGGACCCAGGTTTATGCCGAATCCCTGACTTCTTACTGACAAATTGTTGTGTGAAGGAGTCAGAGATGGCTGAAAGCTGTTGGCAGCTCTTTTCCTCTAAAACATGTGACTCTTCTTTAATTACTTCAAGGCCCGGAAAGCCTTGACAGAGAGACAGAAGGATCTGGAAATGAAAACACAGCAGCTAGAGGTGAAGCTCAGCAACAAGACAGAAGAGGAAATTAAGAAGGCGAGACGGAAGTCCACACAGGCGGGTGAGTACCTATGTCCATCACTGGTGGGAGGCCGGCATAGCCCCACGGATGGTGGGAATAAGATGGAATGCAACTTCCCATCCACCCACGTTTCTTGCTTTTTGATATTGTAGCTATAAAGTCAAAGTGAACTGTGCTACAAGTCTGTTTCAATGTTAAATCCTATGAAAAACAAACCCAGTTTTTCTAAGTCAGATATCACAAAAGGATAAATTTGCTGATTAGGTTGAGAACAGTAAAAGAAGGGGGAATCATCCTGTTGTTTTATGGAAGAGTAGTGAGATAACTGAATGTTTGTGAAATTTTCCAAGTTCAGAGAACCTCAGTTCAGGATGTTTCTTCCTTGAATCATGGTTCCTTCTTTGTTTCTTTCCTAAATCAGTTACCCCCAACTTGTGGGTGCCTCTTATGCTTCCTGCTACTGTTCTTTTCCTTGGAAGTGAACTTTTTGTCTTTTTTCTATTGCTACTCAGTGATTAAAATTGTTTCTGTTCAAGGGATACTGAGTATATAGTAGTGTGTTCTATACCATACTGAGGACACAGCTACAACTGTACTATGTTTTACAGAGCTCAGATCCCTTCTGTAGGATCCGTCAGGAACTATCTCTCTTCAGACCTGCAAAGCTGATACGTGCAACTCTGTTAATATATTTTCCTGAAAATAGATTTTAACTAGGGCTTCTGTGTTTGATCCCTTCATAGGTGCATCCTTTGGCAGAGTGGTCCTTCATAGTTCTCTAACATAGTTCTTCAAGATAGCCTGTTTGGGTTTTGAGGAGGCTGAGAAGAGTCATTCATAGTGTGACCATGTGTGTAGACAACCATTTGAGGAGAAACAAAAATTATGTGTTAGAGACAAAAGTCTCCATGAGAAATGGTCTTTATCAGTCTCCGTGTACTAGTGGAGGCCAGTGACGAGTGGAG